CCGATAACTAGATCGCGCTACTTACTCTGTGATTGACGCTTATACTCGTCATGAACTGCAGGAGTTTAAATTTGTAGAGATTGTTATGTGAATATAAATCAATAGTTCAATTACAAGTTTTATTGAATTTAATTTCTGTAGCAACTTTTGTTAACAAGATCATTATGATAAAGTAAATAGCAAAAGATTTTCTTAACACTTTTATGAGGAACTGGAAAAAGTTGAATCAATTTAAAATATAGTTATTGGCTGAAGCTTGATGATTTATATCATTCAATGAAACGCCTTCACCGCAGCAGCAGTTGCTTTAGCGAGATTATTTTTATTAACTGAGAACCCAGAACCATATTTTTACTGCAAAATGCAGAAGTGATATAAAATAAAATATCACTCTGGAAAGCTATGAAATGGCAATATTTCAGATTCGCAGCATCTTGCACGAAATTCTGATACAAGATACATCTTTTAAATACGGATATTTCGTTCATATACATCATGATGCTATGTTGAATATTTTTCGAGATATATGCGTTTAACAGTTTCAAACTTAAATATTTGTAATGGTTTTTTGCGTATATCTCGCGAACGGTAAGAGGTATCTTAAAAATTGACAAATAATAGATGGGCTTTATTGTTTCTATAATACTTCATTGTGTTAGCATTCAAACAACACATCATTATACACTAGAAGTATTAATATTTTTGATTCTCTAGAAATTGTTTAGAATATACCTACTTAGCAGAACAACGTTTGCCGGGTCAGCTAGTAATATATATTTTTGTAAATTACAAATTAATTCACTTCCACATATTATTTTATTTCTCTGCACTCAAAGCCTTGAGAAGACCACAAGAGAGGAACATGTTATATAAGCTAAACAATCATTGCTCCTGATACTCAGAAAAAACACACAAGCAAGCGAGCATGTATGTGAGAAACGCTCTTAGAGTGCGCGTGGGCTCCTGATATTTGAAAAAATCGAAAAATCTGCGAAGTCCAAAATGTATATAATAATAATGTATGTATAAGTTATTGAAGATATTCAATTCTATTTATTATTTTGAAACGTTTAAAAGTGTTTATAATATATTAGTATTAAAATATGTTTATAATATAGTTTTTTTTAATTATTGAAAAGGGGTATACCTCGCGAACGGTAAGAGGTATCTTAAAAATTCTTATACTGGGTTACTAATGGACGAAAAATTTGTTAGTTTTTTTAATTTTTCACACACTTCCCGGGCACGTAGAAGCTTCAATTAGACGTCAGGTGAATTGTCTTGTGGGCTAGAATAACGTGAAAAAAACTGCATTTTAATATTCTCAACGGTTGCCGAATAAATAAGAAAAAACTGAATTTATAGCATGATGCTAGGGTCACGTTTTTTTTCCGATTTTGGATGAAAATTTTTTGTTTCCGATTTTGATGATTTTCACAACGTTGATAACTTATGACATAAGGAAAATGCTATTAAAAATTTCGATCGCACTTCAAATAGTTTTCGAGAAAAACGCATTTTTAATATGTGAAAAGGAGGCGAATGGTTTTTAGCGAATATCTCGGGAACGGTTAGAGGTATCATAAAAATTTTTGCACCTGCAGATACATATTTTAAATGCGCATATTTCATTCATATACATCATGACCCTATTTTGAATATTTTCCGAGATATGGGCATTTAACTGTTTCAAATTCGAAAATTTGAAACTGTTTTTGGAGTATATCTCGCGAACGGTAAGAGGTATTTTAAAAATTGTTATACTGGGTCAAAGATCTTTTGATTTCGAATATTTCATCTGGGAACATCAATGTCCTATGATGATTCGTTCAAAAGTTATAGGCGCTTAAAGATTTCACGAGTAAAAATGCCCAAAAAATGGACGAAAAATTAGTTAGTTTTTTTAATTTTTCACACACTTCCCGGGCACGTAGAAGCTTCAATTAGACGTCAGGTGAATTGTCTTGTGGGCTAGAATAACGTGAAAAAAACTGCATTTTAATATTCTCAACGGTTGCCGAATAAATAAGAAAAAACTGAAATTATAGCATGACCCTAGGGTCACGTATTGTATTCCGATTTTGGATGAAATTTTTTTTTTGTTTATTTGTTTTTTGTTAATTAACATTTTGTTTGAACAATGAAAAAAAGTATTTCCTTCTTCTGAAATATTTCTGACTTTGAGCAGTTTTGAAAAAGTAAGAAAAAATGAACTAAATGCGACCTGTTCTACTTGATTAATTTAAAGATATTCTATCCACGGATTTTTTCACCAAGTTTTTGTGGTTTTATTCTCATATAAAATACTTAATAATTAACACATTTGAAAACACATTTGGAAATAAACAGCTGTCAAACAACTGTCAATTTTGACGTTTGACATTTAACCTTAAACAATCTAATTTACTTTTGACGTTTAAAGTAACAAATTCATGTATTAATCGTTGTTTTGGACTTGAATGAATATCATAATGTGTTGAAACAGATATTTGTTTAGAATTATGCCCAACAGTTTGCCAAATTATTTAGAAATACATAAACATGAACCACTTTGCCTTAAAATTAAAATATAAAACATTATTTTGTACTTACCTAAATCGTATTTTCACAATAAACACACTTGAACTTTATATCTATTTAAATTTATGACTTGTACATTTATTATTATTATAAAGAAACAACTTGTTCAATTAAGATCCAGGCAGCACAGTCTGTTGATATATTTTAAAAATATTTACAACAAAAATTGAACACAGAGCATAAACATTTATTTATATAGACAGGTAACATAGTTTTTAGTATCAACATTTTAGCAGTAGTTTAGTTTGTATCAATTACATTAAGTTAATTAAGAAAACAACATTTAAAAATAATTACACAAATTATAAAAATATAATAATTAAATAAAACTAATATAAAAAACTATTTAAATAAAATATACAAAATATTTCTAACATCCCTCTCGATATGGATTACTTACATGCAAAAATGTATATGATAGAAAAATTATTTAAATTCGCAGCAATAACAACAAACTCACGATTGAATAAATAAAAGTAACATTTTGATACAAGCATATATACACATTTACATTATTTGATTTTTTTGCATAAAGTGCATAAATCACTTCTTCAAGTGTTGTTTTATTTGCAAAAAGTTGTTTTTACAAAAGTTTTTGTCTGATAATGGCACTTTCGGAACCCGGAAGTTCCGTCAGGACATTGAAGGTGTAACCGGAACAAAAATACAGGCATATATACATATAAGATACAATATGAAGCATATAATATACTGATACAAGCATATAAGTATATATACAATATGAAAAATTTGAGAAAATGTTCAAGCCTGAAGCCTGGAATCCTTTTCGGTTAAATCGCTGTGGACACGGAAATTTCGAAGAATCGTCGGCAGTTTTAACATTGCGTATTTGTTGCGACCTGGAGGAAAAGAAAATATACGGTTAGGCCAAGTTTTAGTGTATACCGAGTTGTTGTAGTAAGTTGTGGTGTTAGACAATGTTGTAGATAGTTTAATTTTGGACAAGTTTTTCGAATGTTTCAGTTATTTTGCACAAACGGTTTATAAGTTACAAGAGTTACACGCCTACACAACTCCTTGGTCTAGCCGAGAACGGTACGGAGGCATGGTAGTTATTTGTTGTTCACATTTATATTGATTATGGATAGAAACGTACTTTTTAAATTATTTTCAGAGCGATTTCCGGTGAAGAAGTCAGTGTGCAATTTTCACTCGATATTTGGCCATTCAATACTAAATAATTTGCTTGATATATCTTGTGGCCTCCATGTGATTTCATCTTGATGCCCAGAATTAGAAATTGTTTGAATTATTTAATATATATATATATATATATATATATATAATTATAGTTATTATTATTAATTACCTTTATGTATATCAATATATATATATATATATATATATATATATATATATATATATATATCCAAGCAATTCAATGAAATATTCAAATCAAATAAATTAAAAACTTTTGTCAATCAAAGTAACATTTAATTGAATATTTTATTTACGAAATAAAATACAAGATATCAATATGAGTTAGTCAAATTATAAAATATGTATTGATAATATAAATAGTTTAATAATCAATTTATATATGTATTATGTATTCAAACATATTTCATATATAAGAAATATCAGTTGTCATCAATTCAAAATTAAAATCATCAATAAATATTCTACTATATAAGAAAATATTTGCTTAACCGTCCTTAATTATTTGATTTAATTCAATGAGACTAGAATTATTATAGAATTGTCATCTCATAATATATAGCATTGTTAAAATCTACAATATATTTTTTTCTAAGCCAAGCAAATAATTCATATCAGCACAAATTATCCTCTAAAGTATCTTGACTATTTTATCAACATTAATTTACTGGTCGCAAATACATACAATTTATTTCTGTCCAGTACGATGTCCCTGTTTTGTACTCACCAAAGTGATCGTGGTTATGATCATGGTGGTCCTTCTATGTTGTTTCACTATGGGATTAAAATTGCAAATTTATGTATGTTCAGCTGATGGTGTTATGTTATGTATGATCAGCTGTTATTTAGTTGACAATGCCATTGCTTCAAGTCTACTAAGTCTACAGCTACTTTTCAACCTCAAATCTATCTGACAAAAATATATTTATGGCTAGAAAATTGAAACATTAAAACTAGCATTGGGATCATAAATCCCAACACCATATCACTTCATTAAAAAGTCACATAAGTCCTGCTCTTTACTTGAACAGTGCAGTTATTCCAAATCACCAACTCCTGAAATACCCACCCATACCTACCTAAGTATGCATAAAATGAGAGAATAAATCATGTAATATAATTGTTGAAATTTGTAGTAATAAAAAAAAATTCAGTGTTATACCAAAATATATTACAAAATTTAACAACATATTATTACATAGTTTTATTATTCAGAACTCAATTTGAATTGTTACTTGTTTTCAATTATCATTTGAAGAAACAGTTAAGTCAATCTTAACTATTTCTTCTTCTAACAGAACCACTTCCTCCTCACTGCTTTCAGAATCAATAACAATTACGTTACATGTTGTTTCCAAACCTTTTTTACCATTGGGCTTAACAACGGGCTTTGGTTCTTCTTCACCATCAGAACTATCAGGCACTATTCGCTCTTTCTTTCCTTTAATCCAAGTATTTTCTGAACCCTCGCCGAATTTAATAGTTGCTTCTCCAGCCCTTGCAGATTCGGCATCAGCGGTATCAGATTTAATATTTTTCTCAATGCAACTATTGTCTTTACTTTCATGCTTAGCAGACAAGTTTTGCTCTTCTTCATCACAAGAACTATCAAGGTCTGATAACTCTTGTTTTTCTGGAAACCAAGAATTTTTCAGATTCATCAAACCTTCACCAAATTTAATTGTTTTACTTGTAACTTCCGCAGATCCCGCGCCTACACTTTTTATAAGAGTGTTATGTGCAACCTCCTCATCCATTTTATCATCATCATTATCATTAAAACGAAAGTGTTTATTGAATCCATTACCTGGTCGTTTATTATTCGTAAGATCCAGATTTGGATTCCATTTTCGCAATTTTACAGGAATTCTTTCATAGGCAAGAGCCGTTAGTTTTTTTTCTTCTATACATTTATCAAACCCAACATCATTCATAGAATTTCGTTGTGTGGTGTCTTTTTCAATAGCATCTTTGATTAATTGAACTACCCAAACGGCCCTAGCTGCAGCTTTATTTGCACATGAAAGTATTAATTCTGGAGAGGTCAGAGCACTACCACCTAAATGAAGACCACAAAGTTCTCGAAATGCATTTACACCAAATACTAACTGAGCGTCAGCTACCTTTTCTTCTAATATAGATGGATCCGAAATTATTGTATTATTTTCTTCAAAAATGGCATAAGTTACACAAACTGGATAATGATGAAGAACAATAGGCAGAGGATCCTTATCCTGTATAGTGTGAATTATGATTTGTTCTCCGGTGGTGGTCACATCTGGGCGCTTGAAATGTGAAAGAGCCAATAAAGCGGCTATTGAAACACAATCCATTATATTGCCTTCATGATTTAGAACAGTTACATCAACCCTTATTGCCCATACTTTATCCTCGGCGACTATACATAGTGATTCTAAGTCAACAGCCCTGGAATCTTTTAGGGCTTTCTCTAAAATTCTATTTATTTGAATGCATTCCTCAGTCATTCTACCGGCTTCAAAATATGGAGATGCCATTGGACTTAATTCTACATTTATATTTAAAAGTCCTTCATTTGGTCTTGTTTGTTTTGGTAATGCGACTTCGCAAGAAACCTGAGCTAATACTTTAGTTTCTCCTAAAGAAACTTGAACACATCCCCAGTCAGTTCCAAAGCTTATACTAATATTTCTGAATTCGTCGAATTGTCTGCCATCCAATCGGGTACCTTCAGAGAGTGCCTTTCTAAGAAAGGCTCGCTCACAATTTGATACAATAGCTTCTTTCATTTTAATAGTAGTAGTATAATATTGCAAAGGCCACTCATTCAACTTACACTGACTTACTCGTAAATTAAAAATTTGAGGTTATAAAAACAAAATAATCTTTACACATGTGCCTAAATGTCAATCTGACAGCATCAGTTAAGCAGCTAACCTCAATCTTGATAGATTTCATTAACTAAATGATTAATTATAACAAATAAAAAAGAGCAACTATATTTATTTTACATAAGCTCTATGACATAATATTAAATACTAGATTCTGAACTTATATAATCAATTCGTAATAATAATGTATTTGCATATTTTCATAACATTTTTATGGGGATATTGTATTGTCTACTGGATGAACAACTTTGTTAGCATCAATAATTTCCACCTGCTTATTTGGATCATGGAAAAAATACAACATAAATCCAGCAGCCAAAATGCAGTGAAGAGTTAAAATCACAGATAAAATTATAAGATAGTGTCTGGTTCTCTTCAATGAGCTCAATAAAACAGTCACAAGCACAGATCCAGAAAAGAATGTTGCTGTTATTAATAAAATCCATTGTAATATAGATACCTATAACATATTTATTTAATTATAAAAAAATATTGACTAATTTCATTCCCATCAAAGATTTTTGAGAGTCAAAATACCTGAATTGACCATAGTATTGATACAGGAATATATATAGCTAATGAATATCCATATATACAGAGAAGTGATAAAACACTTGGCGATGCAACATTCTAAAAACAAAATAAAGAATTTAATTTATCTTTAATAATTTTACTCTATAAAATGATATTAATAAAACCTTTGCCTCTTCTAAACTGTCTGGATCCACAGGCTTAGTGCTCCATTTGAAAACAGTCCATAAACCAATTGGAATTAATATACAATAACAAAATATTGTTGTGGCTGCGTAAGATACTAAATGAAAATCATAATGCCATTTTAAAGCCCTTTCTGGTGTTGTTGCATTTTGAAGGTAATGTGCTAAATTACCCGAGATTGCTATTGTAAAAATCTGTCAAAATAAAGATATAACTTAATTAATAAATTATCAATAAAACTAATTAGTAAATTCAGAATGTTGATTCATACATATGCATATGGTATCATATTTAGTGCATGGGAGCCTTAGCTCATTTGTAAATTTATAATTTAAAATTTATAATTAATAATATAAATTATTTATCAAGCATGAAATTAAAAGTATGATATCACGAGTGTAAACTGATAATAAATGTAAGTAATAAGTAAAATATATTTTAAAAAATATGGTCACCAAAGTCATCTGAATCCAAAATGGTCCATACAAGTCTGGCTTGACTTCAATTGAGTTTTGAAGATAATTTGGCGGGGCTCGTATTGGAACCATGGAATAGATTATTCTATCTACTACCTCTTGTGTAGTTACATTAAAAAATTGCTGATAATATTGTATACTTAAGAATGATGACCCTGTGTTCGGCGTTCCTTCTGAAATAACACGTAATTATTTTGAGAAACACATTTTTAATAAAATATTTCGAATAATACCTGGCTTATCAGCAACCAAATTTGAACCTTTCATGTCAGTCATTAAGTCCACCATAGCATCATTACTTAAATCTTTTTGAGAAAAATTTTGGGATTGCTGAACGTCAATTTTTGCACTACCATCACTGGAATAATTGTTATGGACTGGAGAAAATTCTTGGAATGTTAATAAGTTATCAAAGGTATTACTTCGATCTGGATTCGACATTTTTGTTAGTTAGAAAGAATTCATATGCTTAATAATAATATTTTCATGTAAATCAGTATTTATTTTTGGTACATTTTACACGTCTAGAGTCTTTAACTGTCACTGACTGTCACGAACTCAAGCCAGCTGTCAAATTGACAGTCAGCCATTTTTCATTCAGTAATAAAAGCGGGATATTCAAAATAATTATTATTTTTTACTAATACAAACTACTAACATTTTTCTAAAATTTAATTAATTTACAATATATATATATATATATATATATATATTGAATAATCTATAAATATTTGATCTTTAAAACTTTGTGACAATAATTTCCCATACAGCACGGGTCAAGCAATGGTCAACCTGTTTGGTCCCATTTACAGCCTACAGGGTTATTATAAGCCCATTATGGGCCAATTTATGACGCAGTGGGCTTAGACCCATACGTTACGCGCCGGGTCAAACAATGGTCGACCCACTCTTACCCATTACTCACCGTGTTGTTATGGGCAAATGAAAAATGTATTCAAATATACCGCGCATGCGCATACGCGTGCGCGGCGTTTGCGCAACTAGCGCACAGATGGCGGCACTTCTATGTTGTTCGGCGTCATTTGCAATTCTTTGTTTGATGACTTCAGACTGTCATAGATAAACAATTATAAACTGAGTGCTGTAAAGTATACTTATGCTACTAAAATCCTGAACAATATTAGAATATAATATATTCGTAATTTGTTTGTTGTTTGACTCTGTAATTTGTCAATAAATAAATAAATATGTCTGATAAAAAAATTCGCAAACACATTGCGACTGTGTCAGATAGACATTTTTATAGAAGACTTAATTGGGAAATGCAGAAATTACGTTCGGAAAGTGTTTTGCAGAACTCTGAATGCGAAAAGGATAATATTGATTTGCCTAGTACTAGTGCTTGTACAATAGATAATATTGAAACTGCGACTAATGCTTCTATTGTAGATGACTTTGAAGGACCGTCTTCTTACCAGGCAGAGTTACAGGGCGATGTTGAAAGAAATGATTATTCTTCTCTTTCAGATAGCGAGGATGATGATATAACTGAAGTTTTTGATGCAAGACAATTTTTAGCAGAGTGGGCTGTGAATTATCAGATACCTCATAATGCTGTATCTGCACTACTTAAAGGGCTAAAACTTCATGATTGTTTCAGTGATTTACCAGCAGATAGTAGAACACTTCTGAAAACAAAAAGGACTGCTGTATCAAAAGTTGTAAGTCCAGGTGAATATATTCATTTTGGTTTATTAACTGGATTGAAAGATTCTATTGATAGGTTGAAATTGAAATCTTCTATCATCGAATTAGAAATTAATGTTGATGGTTTACCTCTCTCAAATTCTTCGAACATGTCAGCTTGGCCTATCTTATGTTCTGTAATTCTTACCAAATATATATTTATTATTGGACTTTACTGTGGGCTTGAGAAACCTAAAGATTCAAATGAATTTTTAAGTGATTTTGTCGATGAAATAATTATATTAAGCACTGAGGGTTTTGATCACAATGGGAAACATTATAAGATACGCATTAAATATTTTGTTTGTGATACTCCCGCCAAATCATTTATATTGCAGACAAAGGGACACACAGGCTACTTCAGTTGCTCGAAATGTCTTGTTCGTGGTTCACATATTAATCGCAGAATTTGCTTTCCAGAAATGCAATCACCTGCAAGAACTGATGAACACTTTCGAAGCTTAGAAGATGAAGACTACCACAATGGCTATACGAGATTGCTTGAAATACCGTACATTGGTTTAGTTACTAATGTACCACTTGACTATATGCATTTGATTTGTTTAGGAGCTGTTAAGAGATTGATGCTTTTGTGGACTGAAGGTGAGCTTCCAATTCGTTTACCATATGCTAAAACTAATGACATTTCCAATTTTTTATGCAGCTTAAAGATTTATATACCCAAGGAATTTGCTAGGAAGCCTCGATCATTGAAATATGTGAGATCATGGAAAGCTACAGAATTTAGACAATTATTATTGTATAGTGGTCCAGTAGTTTTGAAATCTCATATTTCAAATGACTTTTACAAAAATTTTCTTACTTTACATGTTGCTATTAAAATTTTATGTAGCAACACATTATTAATTGATCTTTTAGATTATGCTGAGCAGCTACTTCATTATTTTGTTGAAAGTTTTAAGGTATTATATGGAGATCATAATGTAAGTCATAATATACATAACATATTACACTTAGCTAATGACGCCAGAAGTTTTGGTACACTTGATTCATTTAGTGCCTTTAAATTTGAGAATTACATGCAGGTCTTGAAAAAATACATACGGAAGTCAGAGAAACCATTGCAGCAGATTTATAAAAGATACTTTGAGGTAAAAGAACATTTTATAGGTAAAGATGTAAGGCCTGTAGCCATGTCTAGAGTTTGTGAGAAGTCTATGCATTTCGAAGGGCCTTTGATAGAGTATTGTGGTAATCCACAGTATAAGGTTGTATATTGTTCAGATTTCACATTCAATATTAATGAAAAGTCCGATTCATTTTGTGCTTTACGTAATGGTAAAATTGTGAATATAATTAATGTGGCATTCTGTACAAAACTGAATCAATTAGTAATAATAGGTAAAGAATTTAAAGTGAAAGAAGATTTGTATGACCATCCCTGCAAATCCTCTTTAATTGGGGAATATATGTTGAGTGAAACATCTGATTTATTAACATGGCCCATAACAGAAATTATTCACAAATATGTTGTATTTCCTCTCTGTACAGATATTGGAAATATGCAGGAATTCCAATGGAGTGATATATATACTTGCATTATCATACTTTTTCAAAAACTATTTTTTCGGGTGATTATCAGTCATAATAAAACATCTTTTTTATGGATGATTAATAATACAAATACTATACTTAAAATAATAATAAATAATGTTTTCATTCTGTTTGAAATCTCAAAAACACAAAGCAATGAAGACGCTTTGTCAAAGTTTTTTTTATTAGCTAAAAATGACGGCATTTACAAAGGATTTTGGTTCCTATATATATCGGAATCTATATAAAAACATCTTTTTTTTATGGATGATTAATAATATAAATACTATACTTAAAATAATAATAAATAATGTTTTCATTCTGTTTGAAATCTCAAAAACACAAAGCAATGAAGACGCTTTGTCAAAGTTTTTTTTATTAGCTCAAAATGACGGCATTTACAAAGGATTTTGGTTCCTATATATATCGGAATCTATATAAAAGCATCTTTTTTAATGGATGATTAATAATACCAAATACTATACTTAAAATAATAATAAATAATGTTTTCATTCTGTTTGAAATCTCAAAAACACAAAGCAATGAAGACGCTTTGTCAAAGTTTTTTTATTTGTTCAAAATGACGGCATTTATAAAAGGATTTTGGTTCCGACATATATCGGAATCTATGAATAACGAAATATTTATCCGTGAGCATAAGACATGGGTTGATTTTTTTTTAATTTAATTTATTTTTATAATAAGGAACTTTTAGTGCATTCAACTTCGAAAATTTTTTACGCCTTTGGCGGTTGGTATCAATAAGTACTATCATTTTACGCCCATGCGACAAGCCACGCCTGCCAAAATCTTTGGCGGCACGGCGGCACATCACTGAATTAGACTATTTTGTCTGGTGGATTAATTAATTTGTCAAATAATTGCATTTTTATATATCAATCAATTGGTATTTTTAACAGTCTTTTTGATCAATTTTTCATACTTTTTAATGCAATAATTATTAAAATTTGCGTATGTTAAAAAACATAACTTTGAAAATATTTGTTCACCGCGAATTATGTCGGTTGGTATCAATGAAATGTTTAAATGCTTGATTATAGAGCACCTCTAATGCTCTATGTTGTATTTGGTTGTATTTTAGTTTTGTTTATCGTGCTGCTTTATTAATAAGGTTTTTTTATCTAAAATAATATAAAATTCGATTAAATATTTCATAATATTTTAATCATTTTTATTATTAAATTATATAGTTTATATAATTATATAGTTTAATATATTAACCACACCTACCGCGTTAAGCCACACCTACCGATTTGATAGGCGTTTCATAGAGGTTACTTCTGCACGTTGAAATTAAAATTTATAAAACCATCAAGGTAAGCAATTCATTAGATTAATTCTTCGAATATAATAATCTATGAAAAGATTATATTCAAATATTCTAGTAATTTATGATAAAAATGTAAAACTAATTGGGTTTTAATTTTAGATGAGCATAAATCATTCATTGTGGTTTTGTTTGAAGATGGGGTGGATATAATCCCAAAAATTGGTTTAATAGAGAAGATTGTACATCTTTCTATCCTAATTTTGAGGATAAAAAGTTGTACAATATAGCAGTGAAGCAGATGATGCAGCCAAGGGAGTCTTGGAAAAGATACAAAGTCCACAGAGTTTTTACATCTACGGGTGGATAGCATAACAGATATAATTAGTAATAAGAGTATCAAAATATATTTCTATTATGATTGTAGACTCATTTGAGGTGGGACTTGATAAAATGAAGGAGGCCCTCGAATATTCTGATTTAACTTCTGATGCGGAGGCAAGAAAGGTACAAAGGAGAGTTCGTGCCAGAAGGAACCGAAGTTCCAGTGATGATTTTGACCTGGACTCCGAGCCTAGCGTCTTGCCTCCAGCTCCTGCACCACCAACTTTATTGAGTAGATGTTCTACTCCTGTTGCAAACAACAGTAAGATCGCATACAATAAATTGTATTTAATTAAATATTTATTATCAAATGTAAATCTTGCATTCATTTTTACTTTATAGGCTTTGATAACGGATTTATCGGACAGAGTAGTAAGTAAACCCAATGCAAATCAAATGAAGTTATTTTATGTTGATATTAATAATCTAAAATTTTGATTTCACATCAGTAGTTAATAGACAACACCAATCAACACCAAGTCAACGTCTAATTAACACTTGTAAGTAATCTTCTAAAAAGTATATTGATGTATGTAACATTAATCATATCACCTAATATTATATTTAAGATTGCGATGAGGCCGGAAGGCTGGTTGATCATGCTGGGAGCAGCACAGAGCCCACGGGTGGGTACAAAGGTGAGTTATTTCATTACATTAATTACATCAATGTTACATTATGAAGTTAAGCTTGAAAAAACAGAATTGTTGAAAACTCTATTAAGATTGGATACAAAAATCAATCAGAATTTTGAACAAATATGTGCAAGCATAGATAGCAAGCACTAATATGTAATGGACAGGCTTGATAACATTGCTGCCAGTGTAATGTATATATACACTGGCATATAATATATATATATTATATATATCTTATGTTTAATTCAGTTCAGTTTAAACCATTTTATTTTTAGGCTTCGACAACGGATTGTTTGGACATACCATGCAGAGCAGTAAGTAAACTCAATGCAAATCAAATAAAGTTATGTTATGTTGATATTATTAATCTAAAATTTTAGATTCCACATCAGTAATGGTTAATAGGGGACCAACGCCAAATACAAGGCGTCTAAATAACACTTGTAAGTAATCTACTAAAAAGTATAATAATGTTACATATCATCACCTATTATTATATTTAAGATTATGATGATGGAAATAGGATCTTTGACCATGGTGCTGGGAGCAGCACAGAGCCCATGGATGGGTACAAAAGTGAGTTATTTCATTACTTTAATTACTTCAATGTTAATGTACATTATGAAGTTAAGACAACTTTAAAAAAACAGATTTGGAGAAACTTATTTCGAGGCTGGACACAAAAATAAATCTAAAATTTGAGCAGCTGAATGCCACCATCGACAGTAAGCTCCAAGCTGTGATGGACAGCATTAGTAGGCAGTGCTGCCAGTGTAAAAAGGCGAATGATTTGCCTGATTATACACTGGCAGTTTATAATAAATTTCCTGTTCGGACAGAGGCAGAACTGCTAGATGTGGAGCAGCTATTGACAGATGCGTCAATAGCAGAAAAATTGGTAAATATGATATGTTTCTGAATGGATAAAATGGACAAATCAATTACATATACTGTATCATTTTAGAAAGCACGCCTAGGACGAGTTGGTGGCGTAGATTGCAAAAGCGCTACCATATCTCTTTTAAAAAAAGTATTTAAGGATGTGGTAGCGAAGGAGTATAGCTGGGTTGGAGGCAAAGCGAAGAAGAATTTTTCGGCTCTTCTGATAGTAAAAATGATTATAGGTATTAATTAATGCATTAAATGACTTACTTTAAACTATTTATTATTTAAACAAATAATTGAACCAATAATGTTTTCAGATATTGTATCTGAACAACAGCGTGTGACGCAGAGCCAAGTGGAGCAGTGTGCCAAAGGATGGCTGCGTCATGCTCATGACAGATTTGTTCGGAGTGCTCCGTAAGTTGAAATATATTCCAGATATTTCCAAAATGTCAATTAACATTTTTCATTATATAAAATAAACATGTAAAACTATAGTTTATAATAATTCAAAATTTGTTCTTTTCAGTGCTTTAGAAGGTGATGTTGAACCGAATGTCAATAATGATAATAATAATGCAAATAATTAAAATAAAAAATAAAATAATTAGTTTAAATTTAATATACTAGATAATAAGATAATGATAAGTTTTAGGATAATGATTACCTTAGGATAATGATTTAGTTAAGTTAGTTTAATTTAGTTATATTTAGTAGTAGTTTAAATAATTATAATTCATTTAATTAATAAATGTTACATATGGAATTGCAGTTTTAGTTCATTCAATATTTATTACTATATGGATTATTTATTACAAATACGCACGGAAAGTATGCAACCATTATTGCACAATATACCGCCATTTTGACCCATCGCAATACCATTCCAGCCCCATAGCATACCCGTATTGAACCCGTCGGGTTGACCATGGGTCAAACCAGGGCTCTGACATATGTGTCGCCATGGGTTCACCTATGTTCATATATGGTACCAGTGGGTTGACCATAGGTTAACCCCACAGCCCATTGTGACGACCATAGGTTGACCATATGTCAACCATGTGCTGTGTGGGTATATTGTATCTTAATAATTTAATTTATCTATGTATATAAATATATTTTAATTAATGACATTAAGTTATTAAAATTGTTGAATCTGAATAAACAAATAATATATATGCCAAAAACATCCAAAATATTTTGTTTTTATTTTATATACAACTTGCATACAATATCAATTAAATAAGATAATTAATATAAAGTAAATGGGGCCCAAAAGTATCAATAAAGGAAAGGGTGTACCAGGATCAGATAAATTTATTTATCCCAATGGAGATAAATACATCGGAGAATTTTTAGCATTCCGAAACGAAACCGTATTCAAGCACGGTTAGTAATCATTAATAACTAATAAATTACAATAATTAATGCGCTTATTTGCATGTACTATTCTATTGTACGTTCAAAATTAGAATATGGTTTGATTATTTGGTATCCTCATCAAATCAACAAGTCTGATGCGATAGAGAAGGTTCAGCGAAAATTTCTGAAATACCTTTATTATAAAACATATAAAATTTACCCTGAACGTGGCTTTGACCACAACACTTTACTAAAAGAATTTGGTATTCCTTCCCTTGTCTCACGTCGATTTATCTGTACAATTATGTTCTTATTTAAACTTTGCAATAATTCTATAGACTGTCCTCTCATTCTTAATCAACTATCCTTTAATGTTCCAAGGCTATCTACGCGTTCACAATTATTTTTCAATTATCCTACTCCTAAATCTAATTCACTCTTAAATTCGCCAATTTTACTTATGTCCTCTAACTTTAACTTAATTAATAATGAAATAGATATTCACAACACTTCACCTAATCAAATAATCTCCATCTGCACAAGTTAACCTTTTTATTTTCTTTTCAAATATCTCATTATTTTATCTTATTTTGTTTATAAATAATATTGTTACATTCTGCATTATATGTAATTTTATGTAAGCATTTTATGTTAATAACTATATATTGTAATTTTGTATATATTTTACTTGTTTATATAAAATAACTGTATTTTTGAGTCCTCTTGGAGTAATCTGTGGGCTATATATTTAAATAAATAAATAAATAAATAAATAAATAAATAATAAACACTTCCATCTATTATTCGTATCATCCTATGAAAACCCTAAATTATTTTCAGGATATGGAAAGTATACTACCTGGGATGGCCAAATTTATGATGGACGTTGGATTATGGACAAATTGGTTAGTTCCGAGGAAGAAAAAATGATATTAAAGCATAGTACAGAAGATACATTTGAAGGAACACTTGTGAATCAAAAATACCATGGTAATAATTGTAAATTCACTTTTAACGATGGGTCATATATGATATGTACGTTTCAAGAAAATAGACCTAGTGGAGAAGTGGTTTATACAGGTAAACTATATAATATTTTGATAATGTTTCATTAAATGACTATCTCGTTTTTTATTTTAATTTAAAAATGCTCGGAATTACAGATCCAAATGGCAATGAATGGGTTGGATACTTTAAAGATGATTATATAAAGTTGAAGCCAAAAAACCATTTTCTCACCAATTATCCAAAATGATGTAGTATCGTTATTCTGCGGAACAATTTCAAGAAATTAACATTGTATTGGGGATAAATCAAAATCTAAAATATAACGTAAAGCATATTCTTTTATTCATAACATTAAAAACATAAATTATAATCGATTATTTAAAATACTATGTGTTTTCTGTTAAAAATAATAAAATTAACTGTTCTATTCGAATTCTTATTCAGTATCATTTATGTTTATTTTTCTACCCAATTTTCTGTCTTTTATAAATCTTGAAGGAACTGAATCACTTTCTCACAGTTTGCATTTAATAATAAACTTGTCGATTTCAATAATTCAAAAATAATATCTGGAAAATGGCTATATGAACAATGAGAAAGAGATTCAGTTCAATGAAAAATAATAATGAATTTTTAATATAGACTTAATACATTTTTATACTATTTTTGTAATATTTTTAAAGTTAAATAATATCTGGAAAATGGCTCATATAACAATGAGAAAGAGATTCAGTTCAATGAAAAATAATAATGAATTTTTAATATAGACTTAATACATTTTTATACTATTTTTGTAATATTTTTAAAGTTGTTCTACGTTATGCGATAGTTCATAGGTTTCGGTGAATGCACAAGCTTATATAGTTCTCTACAATGATATCAGTGCAAATACAAATATTTTAGTTTGGTCTTACTTTATAGTTATTTACCCAAAAACTTAATTATATGCTCTGCATAAATTTAATTCATTCTACGACTATTTTTCACAACTTTGGTATTAATTTATATTAATAAATAATTTTTTATTGGTCATGCATTTTTCTCTAACACTTTTCATTTTATTGTTTTAACTAACTACAGTTGTTGCTGAATATTTTCCGCATTCAATGACCTAACTATTTTTAAAATTTTTTCGACAACTTTCTTTTGCCTGGTCCCCCAATCATAAATTCAATAATTATAATTCCACTATATTTACATAAACTTTACGCTTGTGCAGGATCATTTTTTGAGATCCTGATTAACTGAGATCTGATTATTAATTTTGTCTTATAATAGATAGTTATATCACTATAATATTAAATATTTGAGTGAGTAGAAATCTTAAATCATTAGATGTGATCAATATAACCAATTTGTGTATATTCCTCAATTACCAGAGAATAGATTTAGTTTTAATCAACAAATGCTAAATTTCAAATATTTTTATCTCTCTATCAAATGAATAATTTAATTAAATGTTTTAGCATAAATATCTATTATTATATGACAAAATTCCAATAATCGATAATCGCATTCTGATGAATAAAGCTTTAAAAATCTTAGTATCTTTTATTCTAGGTTCTTTCTATACAATTAAAAATCATCTAAAACTCAAATAATATTTCAATCCTCTTTTAATTTTTGAAATTCTGTATAAAAATTTAATTTTCTTAAAAATTTTGTTCAACCCAATTATTGGTTCACAATATAATACATACAACTATTATATACAACATATTTATATACTTTTACAGATCGTATTATTAATTTTTTTCAAATAAAATATTTTAATAAGCAACAATGTTAAACGAGTATCTGTTATTATTACTTTGGTTTGGGTGTATATTATTAATATACCAACTTTTAATTTTAACATGAAGCATACTATTTTACAACATATAATTATTTTTATATTAAACATATATCCACATGTATGTATACATAACATGTAACCATATTGTTGTTAATACCGATTATTTAGAAGAAATGCTAAGCAAGTTCTGTCCAATTGAGTAGAATTTTGGCTATTTTGAATAGAATTATGGATTCATACTAATTTAATCTGTTTTTAAGTCGAATAAATAATTTTTATTGCCTGCGACCAAATATGTATAACAGATTGAACATATTTCATAAAAATTTATTCGGACTTTTTATATCCTTATTTTACAGTATGCGGTGTATTTAATAAATGTATATATACTTTTTTATTGATAATATTTCTAATAAAATAATAATCAAAAAATTGTCCTGAATAGCATATCTAGACCAATTTTTCGCTTAATTCATTTGACCAAACCCTGATTTAATAATTATTTTGAATTATTTAGCTATTGCTTTGGAATAAATAAATTTATAATTATATAATAAAATTATAAATAATAAACATATATATATATATATATATATATATATATATGTGTGTTTATGTGTGTGTGTGTTTGTGTGTATATATATAATTTCTTAAATTTAAGTTTGATTGTGTTTATAAGCGAATTAAATGAAGAGTTTTATAGAAATAATATATAATGATCTCATGGAAGTTTGGTATAACAAAAACACTAAATCCCTGTATATAAAAATACTGTCTGGTCTAGATATATTATACAACTTCAATTTGCTAATGGATTTTAAGTATCATCTGACTAGAAACTTATCCAAGTTGAATCTACATTTTGAAATATATATATAAGCAGTAATATCTCGGTTTCGAAAAGATATATTTTTACCCTCATTTGAAAATCCAAGCTTTTTTGACATTTTTTTTGTATTACATCTTACTTTCATTGGTCCCACCGGTAGATATTTCTGATATACATTATGTTCGTATATAATTCTTCTGGTTTGATATTGATATGAACTATCAAGGCTAATATTTTCTATAATGGTACTGGATGCATGAATAGTCGGCAATGGTTGACACAAATTTACGAAAAGGATGAATTTATAAAAAATAATAGAAGCTTATTAAAAAAAACTTTTTGATAATTAAAAATTTATGTCACAGTCTGATGCAAATACCTGAATTCCTATTTAGACAAGACAATATGCATCATTATAGGGATGATGCACGGAAGATTATTTACCCAAGTCAAGTTTTTATCTAATTTTGTCATATTGGTCCATGAATAGTTTATATTCTCACAAAATAGATAATTTACACTTAATAATAATAAATATTACTGGCGATAAACCAGAAGAATAACGTAAAATAATGATATCTAACAATTATTTGATAACAGATTTGTTGATTAACAGAAAATTCGTTGTAAAGCAAATTTTATTTATGTTGTAAAATTTATCCCTTTCGTCAATTTATAGAACGCCTAATTGATTCCTTTATATCACGTTGTGGTTCCTACTTGTAGAGCATCAGATATTAAAATTCTTTGATATGCCAAATATTTTAGCATGCACTTAACTTAAATAATATATAAATAAAATCTATTTTCAAATAAATTAATCATTATTATAATTTTAACATGTTTTATATATTTTGTCATTTACTGACGATCAATCGGCAACTGATGATTTTTCGACTTCTATTGAGTTGAGAGTATTTTCTATTTCTTCTAATTTCTTTTCTTGTTCAGCCCTTAGTTCTGCTTCTGTTAAATAGAAAAACTTTTGTTTATAAATAAAGTTTAGAAATTCAAATTAAAAATACATATTCCTAATATAATAATACATCTTTTCAATCAAGAGGGCAATGAACTTTATATGAAGATGTAGATTAGTTTCAAATAATTTTTTTTTAAATATCTGACCTTTCGCCGCTCGTTCCTTCCAGTTCTTCTTATTTTCAATTAAGCAAGGAGCCCACGGTTTTTTAATTTCAAATTCTTGTGTTTCTTCTGGTATTTTTTGGACTATAACAAAAATTATAATTCATTACAAGATTGATTAAGGCGAATGTAAATTGTCTGTAAAAATTATAACATAAGTTATTGTATGGTATAAATTACTTACATGAAGAAACTTCATCCTTTTTCGTCTTATGCGTTGTACAAGATTTGTGTAAAGGACGTAAAATACTATCTAACATATCCATACACAAATTCATAGAAGGCTCTACTATAAATTCGATAAATCCTAGAGCACAAAAAATAAAATTAAAACATATAAGTATATATTTATATTTAGTTGTATAGCTGCTAAATTATAATTACCAATTTGAGATTCTGCAACTAGAGTATTTTTCCTATCACACAAAGGACTGTAGGGAAGTCCTAAACTATGCTCCAGATCACCTTGACGAAAGAATTCTTCTAATAATAACTCAGTCCATCGGTGGTGAATATTCCATTGCTTAAATAAAAATTAAGAATTACTTCAAGAAAAAATTTTCTATTTTTAGTTATATTCATGGGTTGTTATCACAGTTAGTTGTATTCATGATGACCTGATATCAAATTATATAGATAAAAATATGTTTCCAAGTGAAAATATATTTCAAAATTTATCTTACATTTTCTGGCAAATAAAGAAAAAAATTAATTAAAATATATTAAATATAGATAGACCCAACGTTGGGTTGTCTTCTAAAAAAACAGTATTAGTGAGGAGAAGTATCATTACAAGAGCTCACAAACCTTTAAAATGTGATTGTATTAGGATTCAGATTTTTCACGACTTTTTGAATAAAATGAAACCTACACACCATTCCGAAAACTAATTAACTCAAGCCATTGTTGAGTTTTATCAAGTGTGTTTCATATTAGTAAAATCTACCTCATAGGAGAAGCCAAATCTGATTTTATGAATAAATTCGCAAAACAATATTGATGATAAATAAAAATAAAAATTTACACTCACTAACTGATTTCTAGGTATTTTTATATTTAATTTGTTTTATTTATATTGTATTTCTAGGGGATAGTCCAGTGGGTGCATCGACTAATATCTAATCAAAAATATATGAACATATCGCAGAATCAAAAAAATTGATTCGGAATGATCTCAATGCTTTTAGCGTACAAGTAAAAATAAAGTATAAACTTCTAGATTACCTAGAAAAATCTAAATAATTGTTGCTATAAAATTGAAAGTCCACCGTTTCCTGAACAAAAAATGAACAAAAATTAATAACAGAAAATTGGATTTCCAGATGAAACCTTATATTTAACTTTCGGGAAATAAAAAAATCAATGACTGAAATATCTACTATCACCAACCTTGGACGGATGCGAAATATCGCAAAGGTGTACTACAAGTCCGAGAGCTTTCGATTTGTCAATAACCGCCGTGGGGTCGGAGGCGAGCATC